CTAAAGTTCGGCCTTGATTAACGGTTTTTGGATGAAAATTTTAACAGAAGGGCATGTTTGATAATTTTTACAAAGTACATGGGCATGTGTGGTGTAAAAAATAGTATAAGGACATGTTTGATAAAACGTCATAGTAGAGGGGCATATTATACATATAACCCTTATTGTTTTCATCCAGATGACAAAAAGGACCCAATATTTGGGTATGATCCAAACCCAACTCATTATAGATCAAATCAGATTTGAGTAATTTTAGTTTTGGGATAGACTCATATCCAACTTTTTAGTTTAGTTTCCAATTGGACTCATATTATTGGTACCCAAAAGAATGTGGATACATGATTCTAATGCAGTTTCGCTTATTTTTTGTTACGAAAACAAAAAAATAAAAGTCAGAGACACACAAAATTAAGATGTAATTCGGTTGAAGAAAATTAAGAAAAATCGATATTATATCTTTTTATGTACAATCATCTCGACGCAAACAAACACATTTTAACCCTAACAAAATGAACCCAACTCTAACTCAAAACCACTAAGAATACATATAAGACTGGATCCAACCATCACTCACATAAATCATTTCAGCTTACCAACAGTTGCATGCTCTTATTATTATTAGTTATTTGTGATTACATTGACTAACTGCATATATATATATGGTCTCGAGTTCCATAATATTCCGAATGGTCGGCTAAGGGTTCCCACGTGTACAGCTACATGCCTAGTGGCATTTTGAAGTACGTGCGAGCGAGCCAACAGCCCAAGACTATATCTAATGACCCTCTCTCTCTCTCTCTAAATCTGATCTCGTACATTAATCGATCTATAACCTGTCCGCCCCTTCGTGTTGCCGTACAGATGTAGGTTCTAGTTTATGTTTTCGGGACTGCGTTTTGTTTGATTAATTAGCTAGTTAAATGGCTTTATTATTGACTAATCCTAACTCATAGGCATGTAGTAATTATTTACATGAGATCCATTAGCACATACAGTGCTACGTATAGTTTGGTCTGGTGTTGACGGGATCGAACGGGGACCAATATAATCCTCCTTTCTAATATTGCATGTCACATTATTTCTCCTATAAAATGAATTGTCAATTCCATGTGGCCCGGCCTGTTTTCTTTCATCGCTATCGGACGTGGAATATGATTGTGGGTTTTTTAGCTGGTAATTGGAAGAACGAACACATATTACATGTTTGGCATTCGACTTGGGTTCTATGTTACGTTACGTACATAGCGTGAAGCTAACATCCTCTTTTCAATTCTACTGTATTATTGTCACCCTGTCTGTGTATAGCTTTTTATAGAAGCTTGAAAATCTTGTATGGTATGATTTCGCCCCTTTGAGCAATTTTGATATCTATATATTGATAATCATCCTAACCACTTTGTGGGTAGATGTGTAGTATAAGAATTTGTCAAATTAATGTTTATCCACAATGCTTAGAAGTGTTTTTCTATATCAAAATTGTGATAACCCATAAAAAACCTATAAGAACCCTACTAAATATCAAAAGCCAAGTGGAGAATCAAAATTGAAAAACCTTCTTAAACAGAACTTCATCAAATTTAACCCTTCAGAATTTGTATATAAAACCTTTGGTCAATAATAATATTTATCAAATAACTCGAGTTATTTCTCGTGAAAAAGAATAACTCACATAAGTTTTAATTTCCAATTTATTGGTCAATTTTCATACATTCGTTCATTGCTCTGAAAAAGATGGAGAATATTCAGCTCAAGGGTGGTACATAGATTTAGTAAATTAGGTCGTACAAAAAAAAAAAAGATTTAGTAAATTAGGCCACCCCACAAGAACGAACAATGTGATGTCTTGATCCCATCAGGCCATTGTCATGTCTTGATGCGCGCTATACGAATCAAATCTGGATTCTCACATCGTAGATGATTTTCATGAATTTCCACAACCAAAATATTCCTAATTATTCCAATGAATATTTTCTATTAAAAAATGTGAGTTTATGAAGTAAAACTTTTAGGCATTGAATGGACTACAAAAATGCATGGATTACGAAACCGTACCGGACATCAAACCGGAATCGTTTTTGGCATGGTAAATCGTGGTACAACCATGGTTGAACCTTTTCCTACCGGCAAATACCGTTTTTGGATTAAAAAATTATTTTTCTGTTAAAAAACCGTACCGACATAATTAGGGTACCATACCGGGAAAATACCGGAATAATACCGGATTATACCGCCTAAGAAACTGTAAAAGAGTAAATAAGCTTATGGAACATTCAACAAAGTGCGAGATTTCAATACCTAATAAACCTCATAATCATCCAAATACATTTTTAGAAACTAGTACAAAACCACAAGCTTAATGTTCACAAACCACAAGCTTAATGTTCCACAAACCACAAGTTTAAGCTTTAATGTTCACAAACCACGAGTTCAATATCTCAAACTAGAAAGTAGAAACTACTAATTAGATCTTTTGTTTGAAATCAAATCCATATCTTCAAGCAACTCCAAATGTAGAAAAAATTAACTCAACAACATCAACACACCGAACCACATTCACAACAGATTGTGGTAAAAGATTATCAACCTCCGCTTTCCATTAAGTTGAAAAAAGGGTGACACACATTTGACACACACAAATTTGTCTACGTCTACTCCTTTCCCCACTAATTTCACCCCAAATTCCGTCCATATTCACTCTTCCCATAAGATACCCAACTCTCCAACTATATAACAAACCCCACAAACCCTCCACGCCCTCCCACCAAAACAAAATAGTACACTAATCAGACTTCAGGAAAGAAAGAAAGAAAGAAAAGAAAAGAAAAAAACAACATAATAAACCATGGGAGAGGTGGATCCAGCATACTTTCAACAGCCAGAGCACAGGCCCAAGCTTGAAATCGTTCAAGCACAAGGGAGCTTGGTAACCATAATGAAAGATCTAATGGAGGATTGAACAAACCTCTGAATCGCTATCCAAACTGAGCTTGGTAACCAGATACTTGATTAACAACCGAACCGTTTTTCTCCTCCGACGCGGCGCGGCTGTAAACGACGATGTCTTTGGTTGCTGGGGAGGACGAGTCGCCGGTGGTGTTTGGATGCTGGGGAGGACGTTGTCGCCGGTGGTGTTTGGATGCTGGGGACGCCACTGTCGCCGGTGGTGAGAAAATGGAAGCGAGTTTGAGAGGCAGAGCGGCGCGGGGGAGACGAGAGGAGAGTGTAGAGAGAAGGAAGAGCGCAGCAGCCGAAGGTAGGGTTTAGTGTAGTCTCTGCTTCTCTTCCAAATTTTTTTTTTTTTAGCTTGCTCAAAAACGCCGCCGTTTGGATTAAATTAAGGGGACCGCCGGTTTTAATAAAACCAGCCGAAATTTCGGCCCATTACGGTCCAACCGTAAAAACCGCCCGGCAGGCTCTTGGATGGTACACAGCCCCTGTTGTGCCGGGCCAGGTCCGGTTTCCGGTTTTTCCGGTCCGACCGGCCGGTCCGGTACGGTATCCTGGTCCTTGCAAAAATGTCATCATCACATCAATAATTTAGCGATTACGTTACTCTGCATGTTAAGTATGACCTTAATTGTGTAATTGATTGGGTCATGTACTCATGTCGTATGTATTAAGACGTCTGATTTTTACTTTTAACTAATGTATTTTTATGTAAATTTTGAAGGTACCAAGAATGTATTTTTTTTTCTAAAAGAGAATGTATATTTTTTTAGGGCTAATGTCAGTACAAAATCCAAATTATTCAAAAAAATGTTACTTATGTTCTCAAGTATTCGATATGGTAATTCTAGTACGAATTATTTTCTGTTAATTTTGACATTTAATACTTAACAGGAAATCTAGTAAGCGCAGTGATGTAGCATCTGACATGGAATTTTAAGTCTAATTTTTGTTTATTTTTTATACCCATACTTATTAATATTAATTATTACATATCGATATACGTATAAAGATAAGGCTTCAATAGATAAGTGTGGTCTGTGTGGCTATTGTGGTTTAACCATCTTGGTTAGTGGTTAGCCACTAACCACAACAACAAAAAACCACTAATCATCAAATGTCGATAACAGTTATCCAAACTAGGTGTGATTCGATGTGGTCTGCGATTAAACCGTAAACCACAAACCATACTTCCACCCCCTAGTCACAGATGTTCCAACACAAGCTCTCATGATATCCAATCCTTTTTGAGCATCATAACCTTGTTCAACCTTAATTACTAACTTGATCAATCGATGCAACAACACAAACACACGGCATAAAATTGTCTGTTGTGTAGTAGCTTGGGAGGGGCAAAGGGAGGTCACAGTCTATGTCAACATTGAAGAGGACTGGAATACACAAGACAGGACACTGGCTCCCCCTCTCTCTCTCTCTCACACAAGTCATAAATACCCTTCCAAATATTCCATTGAACAGTAAAACGAAAAGTCCCCCTCTCTCCCCTTCCAACTTCAGATACAAGGAAAATAAGAAAAGTAAAAAAATACTGTCTTTCAAAAATTCTTCTCCATATCCAGCCAGCCATCTCTCTGTAGTCGTCCTTTGCAAACACCGCCATTTATACCTCTGCCACCCATATTCCCCACCCTTCCTCATAAATTAAATTCTGCGGTTTGTGGCTGTGACTGGAAACCTGGAAAGAGAGAGTGAATAATAATAAGGTCAGTGACCCTATCTCTCTCGTCTGCAGTCACTCAAGTCTCGATTTAAGTCCTCCTTCCAAAGGAGGGTAAAAACTAAAAAGTTACTTTCTTGACACAGTAAGTAAGTAAGTAAGAAAGAAAGAAGGTCCATTATTAAAAGTAGCTTTCCTTTTCATCACTACCCTTTTATTTTTTAATACATTCCTTCTCCTTCTCCTTCTCCTTCATCCCTCATTCTTCTCTCACCGTGGTCCATTGAAACACCCACTTTATAAAACCACATAAAAACGGAAACTTTCTCTCTTCTCTTACCCTCTCTCTCCCTCTCTCTCTCTCTCTCTCTCCCTTCTCTTCTTTGCTTTTGAGGGGTTTGGGTTTGTCTATCTCTTTCAAAGGGAAATGGTGGGTGCTTATCTCCATGCAACCAAATCATAAGCCACTCATGATATAATCATCAACTCCCCCTTTGCAGATTCCAAACTTCTCTCTCTCAAAGCTCAAAAAAAAAAAAAAAAAAAAGCAACCAACTTTTTGGCTTACGATGATGAGAACTAGTAGTAGTAGCCCTTCGCCACACTTCCCCGACCTCTCCCTCCAGATCAGCCTGCCCTCCACCGCCGCCGTTTACCACAGCGAGAGCAGCAGGAGCACTACCGGCTCCACCACCACGGATTCCGGCAGCAGCGATTTCAGCCACGACAACAAAAACACGGCCACCAACGCCGGGTTCCTCAGCTTGGGAACATTCGACGGTCAGAACCGGGCGGTGGCGGCGGATCATTATTATCATAACCAAAGCCATCAAACGTTAATGGGTCGTCCCACTTCCTACCACCACCATCATCATCATCATCAGCCGCAAATCTACGGCAGGGATTTCAAGAGGAGCGGCGGAGGTGGAGGTGGCGGAGGGAGGAGGAGCGTTAGAGCGCCGAGGATGAGGTGGACCACCACCCTCCACGCTCACTTCGTTCATGCCGTCCAGCTCCTCGGCGGCCATGAAAGTAAGGAAATTAAACCGGCAAAAAAAAAAAAAAGTTACTTGGGTTTCGGTTCGTTCGGTTGACTCATATGGGTTAGATATGTGTGGTTGTGTGTAGGGGCGACGCCAAAGTCGGTGCTGGAGCTGATGAACGTGAAGGATCTAACCCTAGCTCACGTCAAGAGCCACTTACAGGTTAGCTTCATTTATTTGGGTTGCTTCATTCTTATGCATCGTTACCCATTAATGAGTTTCATTCTCTCTCTATTGGGTTCTGGTTTTTTCACGGTTTTAATGGAGCTTTGTCTCCGGAAACCACAAATGGGTAGTGACTGGCTGGTTCAGAACATAATGGCTAGTTACAAGAGGACAAATGGGATAGATGCAAAAAAAAAAAAAAAAACGGCATAAGCTTTATAATGATCATATAATAAAATGAATACTAGTAAAAATATGCCCTTTTTTTTTCCTCCCTTTCTGGTGGTGGGTTTTGCATCTTGTTCTGGATCTCTTGTTCTGATTGTGTGATTTGGTTCGTGCAGATGTACAGAACGGTGAAGAGCACTGACAAAGGATTACCAACAGGTAAATTACATTACGTTAGTTACATTTTAACTCTCTCTCTCTCTCTCTCTCTCTTCTCTTGGGTTGATACTGGTTTGCATTTCCTTACATTCAAAATATGTATAATGGTATTATTATCATGCGATCCACAGGAGGGGAGATGGCAGGAAAGGACGATCTCAACCAAATTCCTGACCATAGAATCAGTCATTTTAGTGATCATGATGATAATAACAATAATGGCGAAGAAGAAGATATGATTGTGGAAGTGGAAGCAGCAGCTGCAGCTGCAGGAAGAGGAAGCAGAAAATTATTATCCGCAGCAGCAGCAGAGAATGAAACCGACTCTTCTCCTCCTTATTCTCTCATCATCAATAACCCAACACCCCAAAAGTGAGTTCCTCCTCTCTCTCTTTTTGGCCTTCTTGGGTTTCCTCTCTTTTAGATTTTTATTATTATGAGAGGCTTATAGCTCATTAATGTCTCATTAATTGGCCTCTTTCCTTTTCATAAGCCCACAAAAAGAGAGTCAAATGAAGCCTTCAAAACAAAGAAATTACGAAGAAAAAAAAAGACACATTGATTGTCATCATCCATCCATTCAACCCATCCAAGCCAAAGGAACAAACAAGAATTGAAGCAAATATTGTTTGGTCATTCATATTTGTTTATGCATTAATACACATTCTCCTCTTTGTTAGAGTTTCTAGGTTCAACACACCTTGTGTCATTATTTGGTCCCTGGATCGGGTTATTCAGCGCTAACCCAAAAAAATTTATTCGTAGTAGTTATTTATCAATGCTGACTATCACAATGCGTACGAATAGTTATATGCTAAGTTTATAACTTATTTTTTTCTTTGTGGTTTTAATCTCTCTATGTAGTGGTGGTGGGGATGGTACAAACACAAAGTCATAAATCACATTAATGAAAAGTTTGTTTGGCACCCCCCTCCTTTCCCTAGGGCTTTTGTAGGTGTACTATAACTCCATTTTTTATGTGTCTTTTTAGTACATAAATTAGAAGTTTGTGTCCCCTTTTCTTCTTCTTCTGTCTCTACTTTCAAACCACCACAGACTTACATTCCCCCTATCCGTCGGATTGTCTTACCATCCCTCGATCCCAATGTCCTCTTTGCCCACACAAAAATCATAAGAGTCAAAGGAGTAGCTAGCCTTTTCCTCCTTCTCCTTTTCTCTTGGTTCAAGTCTCAATGTACCCGTACACAAGCCCTCAGCTTCTAATCTTATCAAAATATATATATATATGGTTATTAATGTCCCACCTACATTTGCTGGAATTCAACTTTGTTGACTTCCCCCTTCTAGCTACACTATGTGATTCATGCTCACGAATCATACTAATCTTCTCTGTATCGTTTCAATATCTTTGAAGATACGAGTAACAATCATGATGTGTTCATGTCATTAAGTTCTGACTACTAGAAGCGTTCGTTTTAGTTTGTTTGTTTAATGTCTATTGCAAGAACGGATCAGAGGGACCTCAATTGTTTCTTCCGTATTAGTAATGAGTTTTTAATAACCCATCAACATCATGCAAGTGCTATACAACAAGTACAATAGACTTGTGGAATGATTTGTTTGCTTTTGTTTTTTCCTGAAAAAAACAATTTGCCATTTCCATTTCTTTGCATCATCAATTAACATATACATGTTCTTATTTTGGCATCATACTTTTGGTCAATATTGATATAGATGATTAGAGTAATTAATCCTGGTTTATGTAATGTTTGCTATTGACAGGGACAACTATAGCTTAGTTTGGCCCTGCTGTAGCTTTTGCAGAAGCAGCTTTTGGCTGGAGCTTTTAGATAAGTACTTTTCAAAAAAAGCAGTTTAGTGTTTGGCTGTAAAACTATTAGAAGTGCTTTTTAATATGAGCGGTTGTGTAAAATGACTATAAAGGACTTATAATATAAAATATAAATAAAAATTTGAAACAATAAAAAGTAGTCAAAATGGATCTTGTTAGATTTCTTTTATATTAAATAATATGATTTTATAATTTATTTTATTTTTAAAATGATATAAATGAAGGAAAATTATATTTTCTGAAATAAAATTAAAATATGGTAAGGATAATCTTGTATTTTCAAAACAGCTTTTCGCAGAAGCTCCAAATCGGAGCTTCTGCTTTTATGTTATACAAAAGCGCTTTTCGGCTTTTCAAAAGCCGAGCTTTTAGAGGTGTTTGGCCCTGCTTAAGCTTTTGAAGCCGAAAAGCACTTCTAAAAGCCGGGCCAAACATAGGCTATAATAGATCAAACCCTGATCACCATCACCAGGTCTCATTGACTCGTTCTCAATTTAACCCGTGTGACCTAATGATGATTAAGGTACGCAAAATAACAAAATGATGGTTAAACAACAATTCCATATATATCATACATCACTTTCTAATGTCGTTAATCAATCTATTGTTATTATTGGATTTTCGGTTTGTTGATTAGTGTTGAATAATAATAATTATTATATGGTTCAGGAAAAGGTAGAAAGGCAACAAGAGGTGAGATCAGTGAATTTAGATATCACACTTGGAAGGCCAAGCTGGCAAATGGATGCAGCCGTCTATTCAGCTGAATCTTCAAGCCATAATGAGTTGACCCTTCTCAAGTGTTGATCAAATCAAAGGAGAGGAGGAGAAAGAAGAACACGAAAGAAGACAAGTTAATCACAATTAAGCACTAACAAGAAGAAGAAAAATTAGAATCACCAGTCATAATCCATCTTCATCAATCTCTCCCTCACTTGTTGTATTTGTGAACTTTCATGCATTGACCAAAATATATCTAATCCAAAAGTTTCTCTTGTCCTTCATATCAAAGTCAATTGATTTCGTCTCGAGTTAGTTGTGTGCGCATTGAAGGTTGAATGATTTTTGTGGTATCTTGTGAAATAAGAAAGTAAAAATGAGATTGAAAATTAAGATTAACAATCATCCATAATGAATTATTGTTGTGGTTATATCTTCTCATCAAATACAAATATTATATTTCATTTCAAAATAAAAATAAATGAATTTTCCAAATTAAATATATTGCAGAGTACATAATCTCAAATCCCAACTTCCAAACCATCCACAATTCCTCTTATATATCATGAGCCAAAGATTACAAAAGAGAATTCGCAAAAGTGACCAGTTAGTAGTGAAGAGAAGACTTCCACTTCTTTCTGTGTATTCTTGGAACAAATGATGGGAAATGCCATAATAGTTTCCACCTTCATTTTTGAAGTTAAATGGCGTGACAGAGTACTAGGAACAAGTAGAGAGAGAGAGAGACAATATGGTGAGAACCAAATGGATTTTATCAGCTCACTTGAAAAAATACATATAATATATTATACAATTAAATTTGGTATTTTGTAGATTGCATCGTTTAATACATGTGAGTGTGTTTTCACTTTTCAAATTAAAGAAAAAAATTATTTTTAATGAAAATGTCATTTGTATCCTTTTTTTAATGGTTAATTAACAATTTGAATTGAAGCCCGGAGAAGTGCAACTCGCACCTTCCCTCTCAAAAAGATACCGGTTTGTTTACATACTTTGTACTATGCAAACCAATCTGTAGTAATAATCAACTCTCATCTATGTAAAACTCTATATACTCTCATATGAAAAGGGACATGGCCACTAGCAAAAAGAAAAAACTCCTGCAAAATCTTCTGAGCAACCTGTTGGGGAGAGTTGGCAAGTTTGCTTCCATATAGTCTTGCACATCGCTCCCTCCAAATCGCGTTGATGCCAAATATCCACAAGACTCTCCCAGCAGCTGCACGATCAGTAGTTTGTGCACAGACTCGCTCAACCCATTCCAACTGCAATCTCCAATATGCAAATTCAGGAAAAACATATATACCACACAACACCTGCTTCATCACTGCAATACCAAACAAGCAAACACTAAATAAATGATCTCGACTCTCCAGTCTGCCCAGGCATAGAACACAGCTTCCATCACAACTAATCCACCAACCAATTAGTTTGTCTCTCGTTCTATCCTTCCCAAGATGATTAGCCACAATAACACACAGTGCTTTGGGTAGACAGGCTTTCTCTAGACAACGTTTGCCCATGATATAGCTGGTATAGGAATCCTGATAGACTCCCACACTCTCTTGACTGTGTATTGACAAGATAAAACACAACACAAAACTGCGACCAAGTGTAATCGCAGAATGGAAATGTAGTATAGTGGAATCAAGTAATAAATGTTAACTCAGGGCCTAGATGTACTGCCTACTCCGTGATTATCTATTATCTAGCGCGACTAAGTGAATGTAGGTGAGTTCAAAGTAAAGTAGAAAGAAAATAGTAAATTGTATGGTTTCCTGAAGTAAGAGAAGACTCACTCGGGAATGAGTCCCCCTAGCTCCTTAGTTAGGTCAAAGTTGTAATTTCCTTAGGTTGATTTACTGTTGATTAAACTGCGGAAGATCCGACAGTAGCTTGGAATCTCTTAAGCTGACCTATCCCTCTTAGACAGACTAACCCTCAGACGACTAGTCTTTACTGGGATAGAAAGCTAAGGCAATTAACACAGAACTCCACTACTAGAACCAGATTCCAGTATAAAGCAGTGAATCGACTAACTCTCGTATAATCAATTCACTACTATCGATTGAAGAAGCTCTAGAAACCTATTCAGTTTCTATATATCACATGTTGAAGCAGAAATCAAGAGAAGTTCATCAGGATTTAATTGACTCATTAAACACACCTCAATCAATTATAATCAAATAGTATATCAATCCAAAAGTCATTACAACTCAAATCCCTAACACATGGAACTAGGATTTTTCATACCCAAGTGAGAGAAAGGTCTCTCCATAGAGAGAGAGAGAGAGAGAGAGAGAGAGGAAAACAAAAATCAAAGCAGTCATACTCATAAAGATGAGAATAATCTGCTCTAGGATGTCAATATTCACTCCTGGGATGCAATCTGGGCTTCAATGGTGAGAAATCCACTCCAAATAGCTTGAAAGGTTTGTTCTTTTCACTTTCTCTCTCTAAAACTCTATTTTTACTCCAAAAAGTCGAATCCCCTTCTTTTGGCTCGAATCTGCCTCTTTCAACCTGATTCTGGGCAAATTACGGGCAGAAGCACGGTCGTGCTTGCTCCCTTGATCGTGCTTTGCCCAAAACGTGTGTTTCACTTAGTGAAAAATGGAAGAAACACGGGCAAGTCTGGGTAAAGCACTGACGGTATTTTCCAAATCACGGTCGTGTTTTTCTCCTGGGCTGCCCTTATTTTGGTTTTCTTCAGCACTCTTCATAGTTGGCTCTCGTCAATAAAAGCACTGGCAAGATGATGAAAAGCACGGTCGTGCTTTTCTCCTTGCCTACCCGCATTTTGTCTCCAGAATCGCCAAATGATCTCCAAACCACCCGAAACTTGCGCCTAAGTCTTTGTACACCCGCTAGGACCTGAAATATGACAAAATAGCACAACCTAGCGTAAAATAGGCCAAGGATAAACCAAATCGAGCCAAAATGGTTAAGAGATAAGGGTGCAAATATGTGCAAATATGACATTATCATGTATCTAGCTGTTATCCCATCCCAAGCCAATGTGTCCCCTCCACCTGTAATGTGTTGCTGCGCTAAACATATGCATTTCAGAATCTTCTTCCACGTCCAAGTACTCACTGTACTAACAGGAAGGGACCATTCCTCCCTTTAACCCTATATTTGTTTATCCAAGAAACCCACAGGGAACCTGCATCAGCAAGTAGATTCCACAAATGACGAATCACACAAGCTTTATTCTAGTTTTTGAAATCCTTAATGCCAAGCCCACCCTCTTACTTAAGCAATGCTACATGTGACCAAGCAACAAGGGCCCTCTTTCTTCTGTCTCCATCCACACCCCACAAGAAACGATTACAAGCATTCTCAATCAATTTAAGCACCTTTAATGGAAGTAAAAAGATCGCCATCCAATACTGGAACACACTTGTGATAACTGAGTCAATTAATTGCACTTTCCTTGCATAACTCATAGATCTGGCCTGCCATGTTTGTATTCTCTTTGTAATCCTTTCCACCAGACACTCACAGTCAAAAGATGTCATTTTCCCAGAAATGAGTGGGACTCCAAGATATCTTACAGGGAGCTCACCTAAAGGAAACCCAGATTGTTGAGACAGATCTTGCGAGATTCCTGAGCAGAACAACTGTCATTTCTGAGGTTTGCACTTAAGGCCCGAGATCGCATAAAACTTGCTTAATAGCTGTTTAATTCCTAATATAACTTAAGAAGATCCATTAGTAAACACTAACAGATCATCTGCGAAACAAAGATGAGATATCTCTAGACTTTTGCAACGAGGGTGAAAAGGAATAAGATTCCTAGAAACTGCTCTGTTAAGTAAGAATGAGAACACCTCCATTGCAATTGTAAAGAGATAGGGGATAAAGGACCCCCTGTCTCAACCCTTTTGCTGCTGGGAAATAACCACATAATCCTCCATTGAATGACACACTAAGCATAGTTGATGAGACACAAGACTCCACCAAATTCACAGACATTGCAGCAAGATATTGGACGAAAGTCCTTCATCCTTTCTACAACAGGAATCTTAGGAATAAGGGAGATAACTGTAGAGTTTACCTTCCGAGGCATGTGACCAGTAGCAAAGAATTTTAAGACTACATTCTCCACCTCCCTGCCAACTACATCCAAATCAAACCTGAAAAACTCAGCTATATAACCATTTGGTCCTGGAGCTTTATCCCTCCCCTTATTGAAGAATACTCTCTTGATTTCCTCACGCATAACTGGTGTTGTCAAAACCACAGCTTCATCAAATGTTCAAAGAACTCTAATTGATGGTCCTGCACCAATGGATCAGCAACCCCTAGAAGCCCCTTGTAAAAATCCGCTGCCAGGGTACTCATCCTCTTAACATCTATAATAGCCTCCCCATTATCAGCTATTAACTTCTGAATAGTCTGCCTATGATTTCGAGCTCTAACCATACCATGAAAGAAACCAGTATTGGCATCCCCCTTTCTTATCCATTGCACCCTGACTTCTACCAGTAAAAAGACTCCTCTGCACTTTGTAAATCACTACACAGCTTCTCCTGGTCAATAACAGCCCAGAGTTCTCCTAAGAGGGATCAAATAGAAAATTGTTTTGAAGCATTTCTAGTTGCAATTCAGCTTCACGAACTCTCACAAAAATCTCTTAATAAGCATACCTGTTGAGTCCCTTAAGCTTCACCTTAAGCTCCCCCAACTTCTTATACAAGATTCTACAAGGATCTCCATTAGCTTCCACATGCCAAGCCTCTTCCAAGATACTCGTATATTGAGGATGTTGTCTACAAAATAGAAAGAACTTAAAAGGTTTCGGTAGAGTGCACAACTTTGAGTCGATTCCACATGCACGCTCTACTGTAGCATTAAAATCACCCAAGAACACACCAGGTTCATTAAAAACCCACCGTCTCTTTAACTCTTCATACAAGACCAGTCGCTCAGCCACCTTATTAGGCTTGTAAACAGCAGTAACCGCACAAGATTCACTTCCAGAACTCACACGAACACTAATATAATGCTCACCCATCCCAACTTCAATAACTTGCAGAGAAGGTTTGCAAAACAACCAAACCCCACAAGATTGAGAGTACTTGTAATTATCTAGGTATTTCCAACTACTAAACTGTTTATTTCGTATATCATCAGCATTATTCTGCACAACTCTAGTTTCTAATATAGGAAATACCTCTACTTGCAACTTAGCTACTTTTTTTATTTATATATCTATGCTTTTCAGGAGCATTAAAGCCCCTGGGGTTCCAACATAACAACTTTCATTTACCTCATTTCTTGTTTCTCCCACCCTTCCTTGGAGAGGCATGAACCACAAGACCATAACCTTTCGAATTAAGAGACACTCTAGCCTACACTGTTAAAGTTGACACTCTAACTGCACAAATATCTTGCTGCACAGGAGTATTGTTCTTACCCTTCCGAACCACCAACTGAAATCCATCTTCATAAATTTGAGCACCTGGCGTAGCAAAACAAGATGCACCAGTATTCACTGTCAAAACACCCACCGTAACCTCAGGCCCTTCAGAAACTTGTACTTCTTTCCCCTTACCAACCACCTTTGCAACAAATTCGACCTGTGCCTCAACTACACTCACTTCAGCACTCACCGACTTACCACACTCATTCCCTTCACCCATCTAATGCCCGAATTCAGCACACTGCTCACAGCAAGCTGGAGCATGAAGATAGTGGACAAACAGAGTGATCCGCTCCTCCCTTCCGGCCGAATCCGCAACTCCTGTGGAAAAAACAAGCCAACCGACATCTCGATACACAATTTTGCAGTGCCCATTTGAGCTCCCGGAGTCGTCGCCTGATCCATCCAGAGCGGAGTACTCGACAAGCTAGCAACTCTACTAAATCCCTCCACCATCATGTACTCCAACGGCAACTCCCGCACACGGACCCAGATCGGAAGCTTGGTACGATTCAGCTTGATTGATTGGATCCCCGACACCCACTTTCGAAGAAATAGTGGAATATTTTCACAGTGCCAAGGCCCGCTCTCAAATACCCACCTACTCGTCGCCTCACTCTCAAACTGGAACAAGAACCAATTCTCACCAAACACTAAAACGTAGACTCGACCATCTCTATCCCAAAAACGCTGAGCCCAGCGACGAATTGAGGCAATCGGTGGAGCTTCAGAGGGAACTGTCCCACAAGAGCATTTCTCCAGCGAACCACACCCTCTTCCCGCACCGCCCGAGGAATAACAAGCTCTCTGCCCACCATATCTGGGGCAACATATCGGAGTCGGTTTCCCTCCCCCACCCCAAACAACCGAGCCTAGTTTGTCGGCTCCGGCGCGGCCATGCCACCAGAAAAGAATTCCTCCAGCTAGGTCAGAAGTTGAGAGAAAGAAGAGAGAGGCTAGAGCGTTTTTTACCGGTCACGTTGAAAAAGAGTATATTTGTACCCTTTAATTTCAATGGAAAAGGTAATTTTTATTGATTAAATTTTTTAAAAAAATGAAAGAAAATAATTTGAACTGAACCATCTCAATAACCAATAACCTCGGTTAAAAGCCGAGAATGTACAATAATTATTTTGAATTATTATTTCTGTCACATCAAGCAAATCACACATGTATTATCTATACATAAAAATAAAATAAAAAATGTGAATTATATACAAAACAAGTACAATATAGAGCAATTTACCTACAATACTTAATTGACATTCATAAAAAGTATCTAATAAATTATGGATACACCATATTAACAGAAAGATAGATATTCATTACTCATTATCAAACAATCACTTATTCATAAACTTCTAGAAAAATTGTTTTCATCGAGACTTATCAAGAGGCGTACTTTAAGATTTAGAACAATCAACCAATTGAGACTTAACAAATAACAACCCAATATAGGCAAAAGTATTCAACATCAATGATGTTCCCGTTGGAGAAGAATTTGGATAATCTGGGAAATTGAATCATGTGGCCAGCAGAAGCATTTACTTCAACGAGTAATTAAATGTGTATGGGCTTCTCACCCAAGAAAGAAAAATAAGTGTATGGGTTCATAGTGCATATATAGAATTGATTACGTTTCAGGCCTGTATGGCCCAGTGTGGCCTTTTGCACAACACTTGTGGGCTGTGGGCTGGCTAGCTGCCTTACCCGGGCTAGATAAAAATTGAAACCGAAGCACTGCTGCTTGAATGGTCCCTGAAGCCAACACAAGAACGTGCGAGTAGCCCTAGGCCCAATCGTACGATATGTTCAGCAAAGTTCCGATTGTTTTTTTGGCAAAATCCATCTACGTAGCCAAAACTTTGACGTTTGTGACAATAATAGTCAATTTTGGAGAAATATCAATAATAGCCAGAATTTTGAAAGTTTGATGACATTAATAGCCATTTCTGTCCAAAACTTTAACGGTGTTACAAAATTTCATCCGTTAACTAACGGTACGCTGACGAGAATGCCAAATCATTGGCACGTCAGTGGCAACTCAGCCTTAATTACCACAGATGCCATGTCACAATTTACTTCAAAATGTATTTTATATTTATTTTTCATTTAGAAAGAATAATTGTTTTATTTTAATAATTATCTCTCTCTTTCTTTCCTACCTCTTCGTCCGTTGCCTTCTCCCTCTTCACAAACCAACCATCATCGATCTTCTTCACCACCAAACTTCTCCCTCGATTCCCCTACACCCACCCACCCATCCGGTCGTCGCTCCAGCCCATCTCTTCAATCGCTCTAGTTGACTGGTCGGGCATCTCTGGGAGTCTGGGTTTCGCCTCAACCCTAGAATTTGGGGAAATAGGGTTCTATCTCATCAGATCCGGCTATGATTGATGATGACTGCTTCCAATACAGCGGCGGCAGGATCGGGAGAAGAAGAGAGGCGGCAGTGGCTGGATCCTTCTTCTCTATTTCACTCGACCAATCGCCTCCTCCGCCCCCTCAGTCGCACAATCTCCACCTCCACTGAGCCCCTCGGTATCGAAACATTCACCACCTACCCAAAACGCCATCTAATCATTCTTTCTTCATTCAATTCCATCCCTCTCCAACTCCCTCAAGTCGCCGGCCACTCATATCCACCACGGATCTCCATCTTAGCCTAGTCCCCTACCTCAAACTCGCCTCACCAATAATCAATTCATATATTCTTCCCTTCATCACCATCTCCTCGTTCACCGAACTGCTCGCCATCTTTAACCTTTGCCCTTGTATTCCAATCAACACAGATGGGGAATAATAGAGATAGATGGGGAGATTCCCATTTTTCACAGAGATGTCACAGAAATCGGTCACTGTCGCTAGTCGCCCACCGCAGAAACTAGGAAAGACCACTGTCGCAGGAGTGGATGAGGGATGATGGATTAACTTCGGGAATCGCAAGAAGGGCTGCTCGAGCGACAGAAACAGAGGAGGCTCGTCAGGCTTCTATGAGGCGGTGGCGGCGGCGGAGATGAGAGGAGGAGCCGCCTCGACGAGTCACGTAACTCGATTAAGCTCGAGGAAGGATTATCTCGACGACGAGGAAGGAAACGCCGTCGTTAGGAAGAAGATTAAGGCGGTGGTGGTGATTGCTGAAGAGGAAGTTTCTGGGAGCTTTAGGGAAGTATTGATGAAGGGGAGGTGAACAGGCAGTAGTGGAGAGAAGAGATTTGTTATTTTTGTTTAATTTGATTAAAACAAAAGGATAAAATGTTAATTATTTCCACCTAATATTATTTTTGAATAAAATATGTCACGTCAACTGCTGCAGTTAGTCCAGTTAGCACGTTAACTAACACCGTCAAACAATTGGACGAAAATGGCTATTTTTGATATTTCTCCAAAAGTGGCTATATTTGGCAAAACTGTCAAAGTTTTGGCTACACAAGTGTATTTGGCCTTTTTTTTTATGATAGCAAAGTTCCGATTGTTAATTATAATTATAAGTATTAATAATTTCTTTCATAAGATAGTCTAACGGTAAAACTGTCTCGATAGTGAAAGTTTGGGAGTTGCAGATCTTAGGTTCGAATTCAAGCGAGTCCCGTTTGTGTTCCCGGAGATATAAAACTGTTGTCACAACTCACAAAGTAGCACATGATGCTGAGATTCCTGGGTAATAAGAAAAAATATATAAACTAAATTATATTATATCCATATATAGCGTAAATGTTAATCAAATGGAGTTTAACCATTTGCTTGTATAGCTGTATTAGGTACTGCCAATGAGGTTTGAAATAATAATTCTATAGATTTAACTATTTTACAGTTTTTTTAAAGTTGAGCAAGGATAGATCCACCATTTTTTATATATGATTAAAAAAAAGATTTAGGATCCGCGGGCAATGAGATTTAAATAATAGATTAAACCATTTTACATATTTTTGAAAATAGATATGGACATATCATATTTCTCATAAATATAGAATTTTTTTATTATTATCTAGATTTATACGATATAAAAATATCAAATTTCTCAAAAATGATATTATATTATCCGAATTGAATTTGACTTATACTAAATTGAATTTTAATAATACCTAAAATTTGAATTTGTTTATTTCATTTCTAAACATAACAACGCTGTATAGTTGTTTTCTAGCTCCTTGCTAAGAACTTGCAAGTCAACATACATAATACATAATATGGAGGTTATTCCTTACACGTGAAGTAATTATGGTTCCAGTTCAGATCAAAACCAGTAAAAAGAACTAAGTTTTGTTACTACATTGCATTTAAGTAAACAAAGAAGAAACTTTGTTCCACCTTGTATGCTGATCTCAACACAATTAACGTTTATAGTGGAAAATTTTACAAGATTGAGCAAGGAATTCAACGAGGTAAACAGTAAGAGAGAGACCTCTTAAATCTTAACACGTAATTATGGCTTAATTTTTTAAACTTGTCATCCTTCATGCTTATCCTACCATGTAGTATTATTAGATTATTCTGAACCTCCTCTTCTCTGCAAAGTTAGGGATCTACTTTGTCAAAGGATACGCAATTCGGCCGGCAATTAAAGAAAGTTGAGATCGTCATTGGACATCTGTATCAATTGGCAAGTGAAATGTCATGACCACGATGACCTACAAAATGATGCATTTATATCACCTCCTTCCAAGCCAATTAAATTCAGACCAACAGAGAAAGAGAAGGAACACTTGCTTGCTCGGCATCTAAAGCTGCTGAAATGGATTTCTTCCCTCCATTCCTGAAAACCATAACCATAGCTACCGTCCTTGTTCTTCTTGTTCTTTCTTACCCTCTCTTCTTCAGGAGACCCAAATCAAGAACAGGCAAACAACTTCCAGAAGCAGGGAGATCATGGCCTGTTATAGGCCACCTGTTGTCCTTGGCAGGAACTCAGCTTCCCCACCTGAAATTCGCAGAGCTGGCTGCTAAATACGGCCCGATTTTCATCGTCAGGATCGGTTTGTACCCAACCCTGGTCGTCACCACTTCAGAGCTGGCTAAAGAACTCTACACCACCCACGATGCATCCATATCGTCGCGCCCGGATCTCACTGCTTCCAGGATTCTGAGCAACAACAGGGCCGACTTTGCATTCACTCCGTACGGTGATTATTGGCGCCAGATGAGGAAGATTACAGCCCTGGAGCTGCTCTCCAGCCGCAGGCTGGAGCTGCTGAAACACGTCAGGATTTCAGAAGTGGAAGGGACCATCAGGAGTCTCCACAAACTGTGGGAGAAGAACGACAAGGATAGAGTCTGTGTTCAGATGAATAAGTGGTTTGGGGACATGAATTTGAATGTTATACTCGGGATGGTGGCAGGGAAGAGGTACTACTTCGGCCATGATGGAGCTGCAGAGGCAGACGACGGGAGAGAGGCAGAGAGATGCAGGGGATTGATGAGAAAGTTCTTTCACTATGCAGGGCAGCTTGTTGTGAGAGACATGTTTCCATTCCTAGGGTTTCTGGATATAGGAGGACATGAGAAGACCATGAGAAGAGTGAATGGAGATTTGAACAAACTTGCGGAAGAATGGATTGAGGAGCATCGAAGCAAGAGAACGACTTCCTGTGATGATGATGATGAACAAGAAGAAGACTTCATAGATGTTTTGCTCCGTGTCCTGAAAGATGCAGACCTTGCTGGATATGATCTAGATACAGTTTGCAAATCCACAATCATGGTATTGAAAGTTTTTAACATCTTATCTGCATACTAAAACACAAATCCATTTAACTGATGGATTCTCAATTTTGTCTGTTGTTTGTGGCAGACACTGATTGTTGGAGGAACTGATACAACAACCGTGACTCTAATCTGGGCTCTTTCCCTGCTTCTGAACCATCCAAGTTCCTTAAAAGAGGTGGTAGATGAGCTCGACGTGATTGTTGGTAAGGAAAGAGTGGTGGATGAATCAGAAATTTGCAAGCTTCCTTATTTCCAAGCCATGATGAAGGAGGTAATGAGGTTGTATCCAGCAGCTCCATCTGGAGGTCCACGAGAATTCTCAAAGGATTGCATTGTCGCCGGGTACCATGTTCCAGCTGGGACTCGGCTATTGGTGAATGTTCACAATGTACAAAGGGATCCAAGGGTTTGGCCAGAGCCAATGGAGTTCAAGCCAGAGAGGTTCCTCGCGGCACGGTACGAGGACGTCGATGTGAAAGGGCAACACTTTGAGCTCATCCCATTTGGTGCTGGAAGAAGGTCGTGCCCTGGAATAAACTTCGGCATTCAAATGACTCAACTGGCTCTGGCGAGATTCCTGCAAGCGTTTGATATCTACAAACCGTCAGATGCACCGGTCGATATGACTGGTGCACCTGGACTGACTGTCAGCAAAGCCATCCCACTCGAAGTCTTGGTCCGGCCCCGCTTGTCTGTATATCTCTACGAACAAACGAAAAATGCTTGAAATGCAAAACTTGTAAAAATTTACTAATCAAGATCTCAGTTGGGATATGAAAGAATAAATGCATAATGAGTTGCGTTATTTTTCTTCACAGTAAAACGTGTTTTATTTGTCGGTTGTAAATGCATAAATCTAAGACTCAAAGAAGAGCACAACTAAAAATCTTGAGGTTTCAAGTCTATTATTTTCTTACCCCAAGCTTAGGATAGTAAAAACGACAAATAATGAAGCTGTCCAGCCAAGGCATTTGGATATCTAGCGTTTGTGAAATGGATGAGATATAAGGTAAATAACACTATCTTTATCGTAATTGCCTCTGTTATGCATGTTCGTATGAACTTGGATGGTTATCCAATAATCGTTAGTAGCTAAATTGCGTAAATACACACAAAAGTCCTACAATACCATCACCACAATTAAAGTAATTTCAACTTTCTATGTGCTGTAGCAGGTTTCACAATTGTATTACGTAAAATGCAATGGTCATTATGCAACGTTTATGGTATGCTTCATAAGATTTTTAGTTGGCGTTAGGTTATTTATTGTGTAGTTCATAGTGTTTCTGGCCTGTGTTCTCTGTTATACTTCATGATATTTGTGGCCAGGGCCAGATGCGAAATAAATGAGTAGCGCCTCACACGTGCCCCCTATAATTTTTAAAAGTGACAAGCGTGACCCTCTCTTTACAAATCAACATTAACTGTGGTCGGCCTCTTAGAAATAAAAAAGTCATGATAAAAAAATGAAATGTTCATATTGTCTGGAGCTAGTGTTAGCACCATATTAACAAATCGCGTGATAACTCCCTAACCTTGGCCAAAGTAAGACAACTTATTAAATTAATGTGTGAATGCTAAATAGTTCTACCACATGGGTGAATATTTTATAGTGATACTATTTACCATCAATATTTTGCATTTTTTGCCACCAACTTTCCAATTATATACTTGGTTAATTTTATTTAAACACAACTAGAAAGGACCAAATATGCATAACTTCTTCACATATCTAACTCTTCCAAGTTCCAAAACATAGAATTCAAAAAAATCAAAGTTTGCTGGAAAGTCGACCAAAAAGGTTAAAGTTGTTGGATTGTTTCCCATTTGCCCTCCAATGCCTCATTAGTCGCCACCAACCGGATATTTTTCAAGATTACTAGAATCAATACCCGCGGCGGCTATGCAACGCCGTGAGAACTTAAATTGCATTACAATGATTGTATGGTGGCGAGTTCAGATGACGGTAGTAATAAGTGAATGACACCTACATTCCAATAGCATAGTGAATGGACTGTAAATCAAACATACCAATGGTTTTAAAATCACAGCAATCACTTGTACACCATCTCAATTTCCCAAGAATGCCAGTAATTAACTGTGACATTAATATATGTTGACTACTAATTGATTTTTAACGGGATTGTTCAAAAGCAAAAAAAGTTAGGACCATCCACAGCAATCTCTGTACCATTTTAGTTGTTATGAAAGCAAATTAAATTACCCTCTACTGATCTAATCTCTCTCAAATTAGGTTAGCACTTAGATCCTTCTGTTACTGTCCAAGGCGTGACTTTATTACTGTTCAAATTTCAGCCTAGGCAAGTAAGTTGTTTCTCTTCAAATCTCATAATGTCATTGTAGGAAGGAATGTGTTTCATTACATTTCAGATGTGATTATACAAAGTAAGCTCAAGTTCAAATGGAAGTGTGTTTATAACGTGAGAAATATACATCTATGTTATTTTGGTTCTATTTGCACAGCTAAAGCAAAACCCTTGCAAGCCAAATAATCAATGCCACGAAGTTCATGACTAAGTAAATCTGCTTATACTTTAATAATGAATTCACAGTGCTTAAACAGTGATGCCTTCTTTGATAGGTTGCTCTACTTGATTGAATGATGAATATTTCTGCAAGACAAATACAGTTTCAGATCAGGCAGACATGCACATCAAATCTTTTAGTTTGAATAACTCTATATAAAAGCGGCCTTCCCTCATATTTCTCTTCCCTCTTTTTTGGTAAAACATATTTCTCTTCCTTTCATCCTACTTGTTCAATATCTAACCTTCCGATTCATGCTATGCAAGGAACTCAGACCTTCGTTACAATGGATGGCATGATGGTTAAATCGTTTTAGAAGATTGTAGACCTGCATCACCATGGGCATTCTTCTTGTACTCTCATGGATTGCTAAATCATTTTAGAATGTTGCAGACATGCATCACCATAGGCATTCTTCTTGCACTCTCATGGATGCACGTGGCAAGACCTACAGTCAAGTCAATGCAAAAATGAACATGAGTGTATTGGAAGCATAACATAAAAAGAATAACAGGGTACTCTGTACAAACGGCAAAGTCTGTGAACTTAAATATTAAATAACTAACGCATATTCACAGTACTGGAGAAGCTAACTATAGTAGGTCGATCCCTTGTCGTATCAAGTAAACCATCAAGAGAAAGCTTCTTTAATTCAGGGGAGTAAAGTGAGGACCGTAGAAACTTATTAGCGGTGGCGTGTGCGGAAGAGTTTGCAACTTGTAGAAGCTAATCGGAGTGTTGAGAGGACGGGACATGATTGAAGTGGTGGCTTGCAATTGTTGATTATGGTGGTAAGGCTGTGAAGGGATGGGGGAAAGCCTCATCGACTGCAAGCGAAGTTCTCTTCAGCTCTAGCCAACTGCATATTCCCCTCTGGTTCAAGCTTGTTCCCCCTGCTCAAATTTCTTCTCTGATGTCTTCACTTGTTGCATGTACAACATCTTCTTCTTCTTCTCCCCTGCTTGTGACCCATCATCTGACAGCTCATCGAGCTGATCCCCACCATGTCAAGTAGGAAAACACGTAAACCTAGAGGAAAAACAAAGTAGAAAAATTCAAAATTCTCCAAGTATTAAGAGTAAGAAATTAGAGTTAGGTTGGACATTAATAGAAGGGAGAGATCAATGATTATACTCTACAACAGTACCTGAGAATCCAATCACCTACAATGATCTTTGGTTTTCAATCAATTCGAATTTACTGTAACAAAAATCCTAAACAATGGTGAATGATTAACAACCTAAGAGAAGTAGGAAACAGAGATAGAATTTTGCAAGACTAAAGTGAACTTGTAAGAAAATACATCACATATGGATCGGTAGTCCCGTGAAATACAGAATAGTAGCAGCACTCCGATGACGAAATAAAGAGGCATTCTCAGTGCGTTAAAATTCCCAAAAAGCATATAAGACTCTGTATAATATTTGATCTGACTCCGATAAGAAGATGAGAGCATTTGTTTGTGAATAGTAATGAACTTCTTTAGATCCTGAGCCTAGATTGAATCATCCCAGAATTTTAGAATGGAAGAAATAAATTGTTTAACACAACTTGAGAAAGATAAGCAAGAATGATCATCAAATCCTGTAAAACTCCTTCGGGTAAGGAATGTAAAGCATGATGAATAAGAAGTTCCCACACACAAATGGACCGCCATAAACGAATTTAAAATCTAAAATTGCGTCAGTGAAATCTTAGATACAAAGAGAGGCTAAATTTGTGGAAAGGACACCTCGGACAAGGCCATCATGCACATCAAACCGATTAATCAGAGTCCCCATATAGTAGTCCCATAGTTGGATCACACCACTATGTAGATTGGCCAGGATCCATGGCCACTTACTGTGGAAACTTGTTCCCTTCACTCGATCACTCCTCGTTTCAAATTTAGTCAGCAGCTTCATCGTACCGAACCAAGATCCTAAAAAGAAGAAACAGGCATCATACTGTTATACACTATTCAGAGTAATTCTCTAATTTCAACCAACCAACACCAAATTAACATCTATAACCTAACCACAATACCATACACATCTTCAAACATCTCATCTCAGTGACCAACAACGTAGCAATGAACTGGTCAAATAAAAGTACATCATGCAAGAACAACTTGAGATACACGTACAAAGATCTTGAGCAAAAGTACAAACACAGAACATAAGGTTTTCGCAGCTGTAGAAGTCAAAGGAGAAGGGAGAATGAGGACTCACCCACCAAAGCGTGATCCAACGGGTATGGGATCAGAGTGCCTTCTTTTCCTTCTCCTTCTCTATGTTCTTCTTTCTAGCTTCTCCTGCTGCTTCTTATTCCACCAGCAAAACAAAGAGAGAAGGGGATTGAGGTGGGTAACCGCTCAAGTAGTCAAGAGCTCTTTTTAGCCATTGTTGTCTTTAGGCTACTGTAAACAAAAATCGGGCACCATCGCAAGGAAACTTCGAAAAAGCTGATCCAGTTGATACGAAAAATTGATCAAGCTAGCTATGTTTTGTACCTGAATTATGACCGGCAGACCTCTCTTTGTCTCCCCTCGCCGCACTGAGGGCTGACAACCAACTGATCTCCAATTGCGACTGAGCAACGACGGCCGGCAGAGGCGCTTCCTCGGTAGACGGGTTTCATGGCGCCTTGTCTATCAAGGGACAAAGCATATGAAAGGCAGAGCTTCTCCTTTTGCTGCCGACACGGACTTTTCCCAATCGAATGTCGCCATCATTGCCAAAGCGTCGTCAACATCCTCTTCCTCAGCATCTCAAACCGGATGAAAAGAAGCTGCTCTGTTTGGGCTTTTCGTGGGAAGAGGAGACGTATGAATGGAAGTAAAAAAGGAGCAAAGAGGCATGAGAGAAGGAAAGGGAGAACTGATGGGGCATACTTGAGAGATGGAGAGATGATTGGGAGTGATGTGATTGGAGATGGAAGAGAGGATTTGGCAGGCAAGAGATGGAGCGGCAGAAAGGAAGGGGATAACCTACTTTTCCACCTTTTTTATTTAAAGTTTTGGAGTTTCTTTTAGTGTCAGTGCAGGGAATTCAAAGATGGGAAGCTCTTTCACTAAATGCCAAAAATTGAAACAGTAGTAAGAATTTTGGTTGTGGCAGAATTGTGGCCTGAATTGTGGCCTGATAAAAAATTGGCTAAAAACAGGTCCAGCCAAAGTAAACGGCCTGATACTGATAGTGTTAGGACGAGTCGAAGGATTTGGTCTGACGGTGCTTGGATGGATTAAAAAAATCCAATGGCCGCTACCAAGTCATATACTAGTACGATGCTACATATATTGTGATATAGCTAGCAGGATTGTGAAGTCATACAAGCGAGCACCTACGAAGTAGCAACATGAAAATAGTAGTTCAAAGAGAATAAATTGTCTCTTCCATGCAAGAATTAAAGAAGTGTTTGAAAAAGATGGCCCGTAGACATTTATCTTAGCGGAGGTGACATTGCAGCAAACATAAATGAATTTGGGGGGGGGGGGGGGGGTTCACAACATATGGTCTCTTATGTTCTTGTCTGGTCATTGGGGCTAGGGATGTCGGTAGTCGGTTCTATATAGAGGAGCTTTATGTCTTTTTCGAACTTTGGACTACACCAATCCCCAAACCAAGATCAATTTGTGGATCTTGCTGAGTTTGAGCTTCAACACTTCAGGCGTCTGGCCGTGGAGGTGGAGTAGCAAGGTCTTGAGGCAGCCAAAAAGCTAGAGACTCTATGCTCCATGGACATCACCAGTAAAAGAATACATTGGGGAACCATAGGTGAACGAGAAAAGAAAGGGGTGACCCCAATCTAGGACCAAATGCAATCCTTAGTGGTTCGAGGGACTCAACGTAAGTCGAGCACACCCAACTTGAGGAGAATCAAGTCACGGTCTACTAGAACCAAGATAGTAGGCTTTAGATTTTGCATATGATGCACAGGATGACAATTAGTATCCAGGTTTGTCTATCATATTTTTGTGTGTTTGTCATACATGATCATCATCTTTTGGGGAAGACGAATTTTAATATGATTTCATTTCTTTGTGGATGCAGGTTGGCAAACCTCACCCATGCAACAATAATACCCTCATATGGATCGACTTTTTCCACTAATTGTGCAAGATTTTAGTGACAGGATATTTCGACCAAGCCCAGATAGACACTATGAGTTTCAAGCACTTGCCCACTGCCTATGGATGGACAATACACACGACTTCGGTATCAGATGTAAGCTTGCATATGATATAGCATATAGTGGTAAGAGAACTTATATCCAATATAAGCTAAAGGTGGTAGATGGGAAGCCAGAGTTTACCGCATCAACTACTAGGAATCTTGTCGAGCTCCTCAGAGACACTGGATGGATTCTTAAGACTTGTTCGCATTTGCTACCTGATACCAAATGACGGTCGTCATGTTATCGTATCAATAGTTCAGCCCCAACTATCCCAATCAACATATGTCTAACATTTCAAACGTACACTGTATTGCCTCTAGATACGAAGGAAGAAAACACTCAACTAGGAGGGATTGTAGCACTCCACTTTGCAGAAGACCATTATCTGATCCTCTTCCTCAACCACAATGAGTTTCCCACCCCCTGTATATCCATTATGGATTGGAAATAAGCATCAAAGCATAGCAACATAAGATGAGTGTTTCAGAGAAGAACGAAGGTTGTAGAGGATACTTGGAGGCAAGAGATCCACATAGGGATAGGGGTAGGGGGTATGGGTAATGCATGATGATTGTGGTTGTAATGTTATTTTGTAATAGTATTTTTTTTTGTAATAAATATGTTATTGCTTTATGATAAACTACAACTTTGCATAATATTATATAAACACATTGTCCACCATTAGTGCATGAAGTTACATTAAACAACACCTAAAAAGGGTCATAATGTGAAATAAGATAAACAAAACCATGACTAAAGTTTCATGAAACAACACCTAATACAGAGTCTTAATCTGAAACACCATAACAACACGGAAAAAGTCTACTGTAGTGGAGGATACAAAGACCGCTCCTCTGCATGACGGTTGTCCATTTAAAGGAATCTGCAGTACATGTTACATGTCACGAAAGAGGATTGTCATCTCTCCAAAATACATGTGAAAGGTGTTGGTGTCCGGCCCAACCTCCCCACAAATGCTAAAAGAAGAGCCTCATCAACAAAATTCTTGCAGAACATGCAATATATCTATTGCTGGAGTCCAAACTCCCCAACGATACTCCTGATTGCCTCAACACAAAACTGGTAGCACTGTAGAAGCTCACATGACCAAGTGTGACAGTAGGTAGTTGATAACACCAACATGATGTTATTTACCTTGTATTTATTAAGTGATTTTATGTTAAAATGATCTTTAATTGTTTTACAAAATGTCATTTGCATGCCCTTTTCACTCCTTTTCAATTTCCATACTATTTTGGGGTGCATTCGACATTACGAGCAAAGACGGGGAGAAAATGGGCAAAAATGTGTAGAAACAAGGAGAAGGACCAGACAAGGCAAAGATCGCAACTGAAGGACTCAAGTTCCCGACCACGAAGATGGGTCGCGAAGTCTTCCAGAAAATAGCGGGCCAAAGATAGAAGATCACGACCGCGAATATGAGCACACTGGCCGCAAACTTTGGAAGGAGGCGCCGCTGGGAGAACAGAGAGTTTCCCCACTCTATTTGCGGGCAACGTGGATGATGACCGAGTCAAAATATCGCGCCCGCGACGCAATAGTTTGCGGCCGCAATCTCCCGTTTTTAGATCGCGAACTTGCCCGAGATTTTCTACGCCTATAAATAGAAGAGTTGTTGGAGTGAAAGAGGAGAGCCGCCTTGGGGTGAGAAAATTAGGGTTTTGGAGTGCTTTAGAGAGAGAAACACCTTGGGAGAGCTTCATTGAAGATCCATTCTACCCAAGGAGCAAGGAGAAGAAGCTTGATTCCATCATTCCCCTCTTCTAGTTTGTATTTTTTTCTTCTATCTATTGACTTGAATCTCTAGTGGTCGTTTAGGGTAGATGAACCCTAGTTGTAGGTTATGAATGTTTGGGTTATGAATGAATGAATTTGTTTGTCTAGTTGATTTTAATGTCACTCTCTCCTAAATGATAACGCTTGGGTACGAAGTTCTAGGGTTAGACGGGTATGTGCCAACTGGCGAGTTTAGGTTAGATGCGTGAATGAGGGCTTATAGTGGTCGAGGCGACCGGACCCCTGCTATAGGTAGCCTTCCTAGATGAAACCCGGGATGAAACCTCGGTGTGGACGATGGATAGTATCCATTGAAATGAGCCATAAGCTTAATGCTCAGATACGATAGCCTAGATCGAGGTGACTAGAACATGGGTTTAGGGGAGGCATACTCGGAGGCGTGTGGATAACCACGAAAGCCCACGGAAAAGAGCTCACTCACCACATTCGAGTAACTCTACTTTACAACCTTAGCTAGGAGGATTCGACCCTAGGCAACCATCTCATCTCTAGCGTCCTCCCAACTACTTGGTTGGTTGTTTATTTTTTTCCTTATGAGTAGGTTAATTTAGCTAAAACCCCTCACCAAACTTCTATCCTGATTAGATAGTAGTTCGGAGTAAAGTAATAATACACTTAGGGATCCTTAGAATATGACCGAGCCACTTTACTACAACCCTATTTAGGTTATACTTGGCTTAGTTAACTTTGATTAGAGAGTGTGCTTCGACTTTATAAATTTAAAGCTCGATCGCGCACCAGAGCACGATTAGTAGTGAGAGTCAATCGGTCAACCTCTCATGTCTAAAGTCTTACATGACATGACCCTAAAAACTCTTGATGAGAGTATCCGTAGGCTCACTTTCACACTCACCATTGAGCTCCAATTGTCTAGGACCCAGGTGCTGCCACCACCCTAACCTCATCCAACGCTGCGTCCCTGTGACTGAAC